ACACGTCCCCTGCTCCCAAAGCAAATGCACTAAATACTTATTGAACGTATGGGGCTACCTTATTTTAATTATCCTTTTATTTACCTTTAAACATGTTTTATTGATGTTTTATTTTTCTATCAGTCATTTCAATATGTATCTTCTCCCTTCCCTCAAAATGACTCCAACAAAAAGCAATTTAAGCAAAACCAACAAACATAATGACCTTGTCTAATATGTACACCATTCCATGTTTAGTTTCCCACCTCTCTACCAGAAAGAGAGGAGCTTCCTCATCTTTTTTTTTTTCTTCTGTAGTGGTGAGGGTGGTGGAGGGGTCGACTCCAGCTTCATTTTAATGTTCTTCTCATTTGAATTATTGTAACTATTGTGTATACTGTTTTCCTGATTCTGTTTCCTTCATTTAGTTCATAGAAGTCTTCTCAAGTGTCTTAATTTTTCATAATGGCTTTTTCCTATATTAGAATAATATTTCATGTACATTTTTTCAGCCAATCACCTATCTGTGGGTATCCATTTTAATTTCCAATTCTGAAGTACTGTTATGAACATTTTGGTGAATGTGAATTCTATCTTTGACCTGATTGGGATATATGACCAACCGAGGAATCAATGGGCAAAAAAAAAAAAAAAAAAATTGTCACTTTTCTCACATGACCTGAAATTATTTTCCAGAATGGTTGAACCACTTCACAGCTCCTCCACACAGTATATGTGTGCCTAACCACGGCCACTAAAACATTGAGTATTTCATCTTTTGTCATCTTTGCCAATTTAATAAGTGACAGATGAAAGATATTTTACATTCTTCTTATTGGCAATTTGGTACAATTATCCAAATGGTTGTTCGTAGTTTATGATTCTTTTTTTTTTTTTTTTGGCTAGGCAATGGGGATAAGTGACCTGCCCAGTATCACACAGCCAGTGTTACGTGTCTGAGGCTGGATTTGAACTCAGGTCCTCCTGAGTCCAGGGCCAGTGATCTATCCACTGCGCCACCTAGCTGCCCCAGTTTGTGATTCTTTTAAGAACTGTTTATTCATATTCTTTGACCACTCATCTAGCAGGGAGTAATTCTTGGTCTTGTATTTTTGTATTAATTCTTTTATCCTGGATGTCAATAATAGTATTAATAATAATAGCTAGCTAACATAGTGCTTACTATGTGCCAAGCACTGTGCTAAATGTTTTTCCAATTATCTCATTTGATACTCTCACAACCCTGAGAGGTTATACAGATGAGGAAACTGAGGCAGGCAGCGGTTAAATGACTTGCCAAGTCACACAGCTAGTGTGTTTCTGAGGCCAGATCTGATCTCAGGTCTTCCTGACTCAAATACATAACTTTTTCTGCACATGTTGTCCATCACCTGTCAGGAAGTAGGTAACACACTTTATCCTAGGTCCTCTGAAGACATGGTTGGACATGGCATTTATCAGAGTTCTTTAGTCTCTCCAAATTAGTTTTCTTTACAATGTTGCTACGCTTATAGAAATCATTTTTCTTCTGCTCACTTCACTATCAGTTCATACAACCCTGATTACCTGAAATTATCCCTTTTGTCATTTCTTATGGAGCAATAACATTCCAATATGTTCATTATAGTAGTTTGTTCAGCCATTCCCCAGTTGTCTAAGAGGCACCACCTTAGACTCCAATACTTTTCTTTTCCCCCTTTTGATCCTCCCTTCAGGGTCGGGAAGTTTGTTTTGCTTGCATCTCTCCCCTTTCAGATACCCTCCCCTCCCCCCTATCTTTGTTTCCTTCCCTGTTGAGTATGACATTCTCATTTGTCTGTTTCAGACAAGAGTGAAGGTTCATCTCATGTCCACTCCTCCATGTTTGTATTCTCTTCTCACGTACCCTAATCATAAGAAATAGCAGGTTCCACTCCCTTCTTCCGCCTTTCTACACTAATGTATTTGTTTTATTCAGCACAAGTATTGATTGATCTCTTTTACTTTTGGGGGAATCCATTTTTTCAGGTAAAGTTTACCGTTTTCTTTCCTAAGCTATTTATTCTCCTAATTCTCTCCTCCAAAGCTTTTACTTCATTTTATCTTACTTCATTTCTTCTAGGTATGCACGTACTCCCATTTCTCACATAAACTGAGGCTCAGAGAGACCTTCCCCATGGTTACACATCTAGTAAATACTGATGTGAGGGTAAGACCTCTCTTTCCGTATTGGTCTTCCAAACATACCTTCATTTTTATCATCCTTTGCACCAAGCAGTGCCTGGCACCGCCTAAACGCAGTACGTTATGCACTCCTGGCCCTACACTTTTGTGCACATCCTCCCCCGACTTAAAACTTCCTTCATCTTCTCTATTGGATTCTTTCCCATCCCTTCAAGGCCCATATCAGTTTCTAAGAAGTCTTTGCTGAACACCCCAAGCTTTAGTCATCTCTGCCAATGACCTTATCTCACTGTGTCCATTAGGCCTTAGCTTTTATCTCCCCATGAAGAGGTAACATATGGTGCCCTTAGATATATCTCTTATCTCCCCCATTGGACTTCAAGCTGTCAGAAGGCACGGAGGCCAGAGATTGTCTTGTTTCTTCTGCTTGCTTGGTGTCTTGGAGTGCTGAACCCACATGGTGCTCAGGGAAATGTTTGTTGATTGACAAGTGTGGCCGTTACGTTGGCACTTTCTGGTTCCGAGTCTCCAGGAAAGGGAAGCCATCTCAGACCTGCCTCTTTCTACCACGTAGGGTACTGTCTGAAGTACAACTCCCTTGAACTGACAAAACATAACCTCTGCAACATGAGGGACCACATCTGAGGTGCCTTTCCAAGCTAAGTCAGTAACTTTGCCATCTAGTCAGATCTCTTCCAGCTCCACACCCTGTAAGGATGAAGGCAGTGTGGTGTATGGAACGGGCTCAAGTCAGAGGACCAGGTTCAAATCCTGGCTGCCTGTACAGCTCTCAGTTTCTTCTGCAAAACGAGGGAATCAGACTGATCTCTGAAGTCCTCCCAGGTCTAAATCCATGACCTAGTCCATTTCAACTCTAAGTCTATGACCCTATGAGGCTACAAAAGGTACCCAACATGTTCCTGGTACGAATAAATGTGGAGTGTTTCAAAATTACTTCCATTATTTCTCGGTGGCACAGTGCATGAAGTATTAGACTTGGAGTCAAGAAGAGGAGAGTGTGAATCCCATTTCAGACACTTACTAGCTGTGTGACCCTAGGCAAATCACTGAGATCGCTCTCAGCCTGTTTCCTCATCTGCAAAATGGGAATAATAGCACTTGATCTCTCAGTGGTCCTGAAGATCCAAGGAGATATCTGTAAAGTGCTTTGCAAACCTTAGATATTAATGCTGACATCATCACTTGATCTTTTCAACAACTTTGAAAGAATTCGTTCTCTGAAGTATGGATTCAGTCAAGGGCTGCACTTGAGGACCTAGAAGCCCCACGTGGGCTCGAGGCCACAGGTGTCCCATCTCTCCCCTCCCCCCCCAACCTGGACATTGCCAATAGCCCAAGTGATTTTCCTAAAGTGCAGATCTGACCGTGTCACTTTCCTACTCAAACTACAGGGACCGACAACCTATCATCTCCAGGGTCAGATATTAAAGCTCCTCACAACTGACCTCTTCCTATTTCTCTCTTCTTACACATCACTCCCAATGCATAAATTCTACAGTCTGGCTATGCTGGCCCACTTGTCCCTCACACAATAGTCCACTTCTCACCTACTTCTCTGTATGCCTTGCTATGCCCCATGGGAATTCTCTCCCAACCTTCAACTCTTAGAAGACCTGGCCTCTTGTAAGACTGAGCTCAAGCACCGCTTTCTCCAGAAGGCCTTTCTTTGTTCCCTCAGCTACCAGTGCCATCCTCTTTTCAAGATCTTTTCCATCTACTTAGTATATTTCTGGCATGTACCAATTAATGTACTATTGTTTTCCCCATTAGAGTCCAGTGAGGCCAATGAACATGGATTTATTTTTTTTTTTTATGCTCAGAAGTTGGTACAATACCTGGCACATAGTAAACTCTTAATAATACTTGTTGATTGTCTTATCAGAAGACGAACACAATTTCCCGATTCTAGTACTGTTCTCCTATGGTTTTCTATTTACAAGGCTCATCTGGAAAAAATCTGGGATAGATTTTAGTGAATTGAATCAATAGTGTTACACAGCCACCAAAACAAAGGCTAAACTAAAGAGCAGTAAGAATGTTAACGTCTAGAAGGAGGGGTGGTGATATGCCTACCATACTCTATCCTGGTCAGACTCCACTCTGGAGTATTCTGTCCAGTTATGAGAACATTTGTAGCAATGACTAATTTTATATATTAACAAGCCCTAAAATAGCCTTTGAGATTTATAAATCAATATAGACATTAGTGCTGGTATTTGGTCCTTAGTCAAAATATACTGAAGAAATAGCTCAATGATGGAGATAGACTTCCTGTTTACTTTTAGCAAGGCTGTACCATTAGCTAACTGCCACCTGTGTGTATTCCTGCTCAAGATTAGGTTTTCCTAAATTTTTGTCTAGAGCCAATCCTAGAATTCTCAGGTGACATCCATGCAATCTTCTGCTCAACTTTCCCAAATTTGAAAGAAACTGTTGTCATTACAAAGAATTCAGAACTCATAGAATGCCTCACATCCGCAAGGTGTTCAACAATAATAATTTTAAAAATAATCTAGTCATTTAATGCTCTTGGGTCCCAAGAATGCATCTAACAAGAGCGGGCAGCTTTCAGGACTAGAAGCCACCTTCTTTGAGATCTGGAATCACGAGCATCTCTACCATTCCTTCCAATACCGAAGGGCCTACGACTGCATGAAATTTCCTACAATTCATCAAGTCTGGGCAGACACAAACAGCTGAGACAGATGACCCCTTTCTAAGAAATAACTATTGATGCTCTCATTTACCTGTTAAAAATGAAAAGGCAAATCTGGCACCAACGATCCCAAAATAGGTACTCCTGAAAGTATTATTCTCTCATAAAGGACAACAAAGACTCCAGAGTATTAGCCAGTTTAATTTAATCATTTTACAAAAAAAGCCCCAAAACAAAAAAGCCCCCAACAAAAAACTAAATACAGATTTCCATAATGTCCCACTGTTGATCTTTTTCACTTTACAAGTAAAAACCCTGCTAAATGCATCCAGTACATTTTTTTATTGCATGAGATTCCAATTTTGTCAAGTTAAAAACCAAAATGGTGCAAACAGCAGATTCTGGACACTCAGAGAACTGTTTCACCACGAGAAAGTTGCATGGAGCAGTGCAGCATGACCAAGACAGTGAGAATCTTTACACGGCAGATTCCAAAAACAGAGTAGAAATATAAAAAGGGTGATTCAAAACAAAACCAAACCAAACCCCAGTAACAACAAACCACCAAAATGATAAGTCAGCAAAATTCACAATCTGCCTTGGTTGGAAAGTTGTCTTTGGAATCCATCCCGCCATCTCAAGATGCACCATTTCGGAATCATAAGGAGGTTCTGTGCCTACATGAAAAGGATCCTTTGCTCGAGGTAGAACCACAGCAAGTCTTATTGCAGAGATACAATGTACCTCTTTCCCACCTCTCATGGCTGATGGTAGATACAAGTGGTCATTGAGAAGGATCAGTAGCTTAGCCATTTCATCATAAACCAGTAAGGTGGATGGTTTTGCTCACAACAAATAGAATGTGATGTACCTCGTGAAAAGTTCTCTCTGCCCAGAAAAGCCAAGGTCAGAAAGATGAAATATCGATAGTTCAAGCTTCTTTATCTTCTTCAGTGCCAGAATACTATCAAAAGAAGTGCTGCCCCGAAATTGCCCAGGGTGCATTTTGGCTAGAAAGGTTTCCTCTGGGTAAGCAGGGGCCCAGAGGCCTCAGGGCACTTCACATCGGCACCAGAAGTTTAGGAGTGAAAAGCTCCCTAGGCTGCAGACACCCCTGAATTTGTGAGGAATTTGGTTTCCTGCCCTTCCCACTCTTCTCTAAGACAACTCAAATGATGATGTCTTTTCTCACTCTCTAAGTCTCCTCTTTGCTTGATTCTGCAGTTAAGGTACAGAGTGTGCTGCAGGTTGTGGTGTCAGACATTGCCACAAATGTGATTTATGATGCTACAAACACAAGATTTCAACTTTACTGTAGGTGGAAGGCAGAGTCAGGGAGCAGGAAGATGTGTTCAAACAAGGTCAGGCACTGGAGGTATTTGTAAAAGGATTTTATCAAATAAAAAGAGTAGCCTAAACTTGTTGAAACAGATAGCTTTCCTAAATATCACAAGAGATGGAAAGTACATCTACTTCCCGACTTGTGATATTTAGGAAAACTACCTGTGATTCAACGTTGCACTTCAAATCCAGCCATGAATGAAAGCCCTTGCTAGCCACACAGTAACAACAGCTAAACTTATTTTCTTTCCAGGAAAAAATGTTATGTAGGTACCTGGGCTTGTTTTGCTTCTAAGGCGGTAATTTCTTTTCATCTCCTCCCAATTCCCCCAGATGTAGGCTAGCAGTTATACTGAGGGGGGTTTCCTATCCTACACTGCCCGAATTCACCCCTGTTCTGTGATAGCCTTTGCTATGGAAGACCAAACAACAATACATTGCTTCTCTCTTGTGTGTGAGCACATGTGCACACATGGACAAACTCTTAAGGATTCCAAAATGTCAAAAAACAAACAGCCAGTTTTAGATTTTTTTTTTTGGGTTGGTGATGCTAAATGTCTCCATTTCCGCCCAAATGAGGTTATAAATTTGTTCCTAAGTCCATTAGGTGAAATGCCTAACACAGCCTCAAACGGCTTACCACTCCATTCTTCGATATACCAATCCACTTAAAATCATGAATTTAAGGCTTCTCTCTAGTATGTACAGCTGTACAGCACAATAATATGCTACTACATACAACAGGTCCTGGCCCTTGGCCTCTCAAAAAACTCAAACTTTATTGTCAGCTCAACTGTTTAAAAATTAACACACATGTCTACATATACAAACAGATAAAAGGTGATCACCAATTCCTGCCTACTACTCACAGGGTCTAAAGTGTTGATTGTGGAGGCTTCCTAAAGAAATAGAAGAGGATGGTGATGACAAAAGGATCATGCATGGTTTTTAAAGCAGCAACCTTTTCCTTCAATTGCTGCACTTTGGGGATATAAAAACGGAATCTAGGGTCTTAAGTGGAAGGGCTGGAGGAATAAGCCTAATTTGCTTAGGAATGAAGTTTGAACACTCCAAAATGCACCAAAGAAGGCAGAGGAGCTTAAAATGACGTCTGCGATAGAGTGAATCAAAGCTCATAATGGCATCAAAAGATCAACATAAAGGAGCATAAATAGTCACACGATGACAGTATCAGAAATTGCACGAGTCCACCCCCCCCCACCCCCAATGCATTGCACAGTATAAATTTTGGAACAAAAATGCAAAACAGGCATGTTTAAAAATATATTAAGACACGAAAACAGCTGAAGTTCTATAGTAAGGATGCAGAACAGAAAGCTTAAAGTATATGGAAAAATTCAGCTAAGACTATCTCACATTTTTCTAGATTAAAAAAACTCCCATGCCCTGTAGTACAATAAGTGAATAAATAGGACGAAGGGGGAAAGGAAAGAGGGAAATCAAAACTAGGAGGGGAAAATGTCTCCATTTACAAAAATATTTACATTCCTCAACTCAGTAACTTTCAACATGTCTATATACAGAGTTCTGTACACATCTTGTAGGGGGTAGGATTGAAGGGTGGGTACTCAGGAAAGGCATCGCTAACTTGAGCTGCATGTTTATAGATACAAGTTTCCTTCATTTATGTGCCCTTAAAAAACACTGTATTCTGACCAGAGGACTGGTAGCTTTTTCAAGTTTTAGCTATTATAGCATTTGCCCTCGAGGGGCCTCAGGTGACCAGAGGATAGAGGATCAAGGTAGTTATTTAACACTCCGGTGGCATAATAGTAATTGCTTTTCTACTGTGGGAACGTACAATACCTTAATTTACAGAATCTCCAACTTCTTGCTCATATTTATACAATCTCCATCTTCTGGGCAAGGAAGACAGAAGAAAAGCAGAATGAGGTGTTTATCTGCAAGGCCCTCAGGGTTCTGGGCTCTCTCCCTCCCAAGCTCTTTGCCTGTACCTTACACGTACTCCGTATGGATGGGCTCTGCTCCTCACTAGGGTGGCAGATCTCCAGCCCGCTGACAAAAGACCAAAGTAGCAATCAACGGTAGGGAACACTTGTTCTCCCACTGCCCCCATCCGCATCTTGGTATATGTTCTGCTTGTTCTTGACCTGACCAGAGGATGGTTGGGGTGGGAAGCCTGTTTCTGTTGACTAAAAACTGCTTTCCATCACTCCCTACTGTACAATTTAAAGGCAGTGACCTTCTTTTGTCCCAAAGTTACTAGTCTCTAACAGCAGCTGTGAAGTAATGTTGAGTTTTGAGAGTTTATCCCAGGAGCTGGATAACTAGAAATTATTTGGAAAATTAAACAAGTTATGATGGCTAAAGTTGCAAAGGGGAAAACGAAGTTGTGTTTTTGTTAAAGATGTTTCACTAATATCCTTATAAATACGAATCACTAGTTGGCATATTTTGATATTCTGACTACTGAATTACAGAGACCTCTCTGGCAATGAGGAAATTTAAGGGAAAGCCTCTAAAAATTATTTTTGTGCAGGGTTATGGTCCAGAATTAAAAAATGTGGAAGCAGTGATTTTTCAACACACCCTGAACCATAATTCTTTTCTTTTTTTTTTAAACACAAACACTTCAAAGCTCAATATCATGATGGTAAAAAGGCCAATCAGATTAAAAATCAAGTCTTCAGTTAAAAAATGTGAGACTAAAATAACTGATCCTATGATGAGCTTCTTTGGCTAAGGCCTCAAACAGATAACTTCATGAGTTTGGAAATCAAATCTACTTAGCAAGGGGTCTTTTTAACTCTAGGATCCTACCTCCCCACCTCTTAAAAGTTGACCTCCTTGAATAGGTTACTATTACAGTATACCATAAAGGTTATCAAATGCCCAAATCAAGGTTTTCTGTTTTGCATGCTTCCACACTGAGAAGGGTTCCAATACAGAACCTCCAGCATCACTTAACGTCAGGCCATCTTATACCCACTACTCTGACATTTTCAGGGACAATTTTGGTCATTTAAAATGTGTGTGTGTGTACACACACATTAAGACACTATAAAGACACACACACACATGTATATACACGCATGTATGTATGTATATACGCACGCCCAATTCTACAGAGAAATCAAAACACTATACAAATCATGTCCCCTTGCAGCACTTATCTACCCCAAGAGTAAATATCAATATATTAACTATAGTGTCATTTAACTGCAGGCTGAAGGACTTGCCTAGTGCTTCTTTAAAGGAAAACACAATCTACTTACAAACACCACCAAAAAGCAAAGACGTTTGGGAATCTACTTCCTCACAACATCTTTCCACTGGAAGGGGTTGTTTGACTTCAGAATCTCTAAGTGCAATCACCCTGGGGCCCCAACCATGTGCCCTGTACTCACACCCTGTGGGGCGACCATATTTTTTGCTGTCTAACTAGAGGCAGAAGCATAGTCCTTGTACTCTAAGAGGAGATCACTTGAATGAAAAGACTCCTTCAACCAGATAAGTGAGCAAAAAAGAGAGGACAGATTCTTTTTCTCAATTTAATACCATGTTAAGTAAACTCAGATGAAATGTCCAAGTAACCAAGTATATGCTTAAAGAAAATACACCAGGCACCATAAGAGACGGTTGCACTCAATTTCCACCAGGAAGCACCTAACTATACTGAGAGAGAAATTCTCCACTTCCAGGTCAATCCCAGAAGACTAAAAGAAACAATGTGGAAACTGACCTTGTCCATGTATGGGTCAGTGCTACCACCTACCACTGCCTTATGGCAGGAAGAGCTTACTTACACTGGAACAGAAAGCTACACAGAGTGCTGAGGCAACACATATTTCTGTAGGATGCCCAAAGTGAAACTGTTGCTAAAGGGGATGACTGCCTAAGCAAGAGTCCACTTCTTGTTAGTACAATAACTTTTATTTGACATCTACAAGATTTTGGTGTCTTGCAGCTTTCTGGACAGGTTTATACAATCTCAAAAGTTTTCAATAGTGCAACCTGTGCAAGCAAAAAAAAAAAAAAAAAAATAGACAAACATTGTCCCTCACTTGTTATAAACATTTACTATTATAGGCAAAACAAAACTTACCCATATTATAGATAAGTGACTATTCACATTTGTACATTACCATTTTAAACAGCTCCAGATAAACTCTACAAATGTCTTACAACATATTAAACAGTATTCAAGTTACTGGGTAACAAAGAGCACATACAGCAGAAGCCTCAAGTGTTTTCCCCATTGTCTAGTTTACAGCTCAAGTAAGGTTTCATCTTACAAGTGACAAATTAAATTACGTTAATGAAGTAAAAAATAAGAGGATTGTTTTGCAAGATAGAGGTCAATTTGCACTTAGTTTCCATAACCATCTCCAATTAAGGAAAAATGCCACCTTGAGAAAAACAGGCTTTGAGCCGGTTTTTTTGTTTTTGTTTTTGTTTTTTTTTGCAGCACATTAGGAATATTATTAATACATTAAAATGAACTAATTTTGAATTTAAGAATTTTATCACAAAGAAGGGCATACGTGTGGTGGACTCACTGCCTCAGAGAAGGAGGGGTATAAACCCTATACAAATGCACCCCACAGAGCTGTCTGTACAGGTGTGTTCCTCTTCGCCCTGACTTTGGTGGGATCTTACAGCATGCTTTCAAAGACATGCACTGTCAGAACAAAAACTGGGAAAGAACCCGAATGCATGATGTGCAACCATTTCCATTTCATGCTTAGTTCTAAACCTGTTTTACATGTTGAAAAGAAAAACCAAAACAGATTTTCTCTATTTAGAGACTCAAAGACATGCATCCTCGGAGGTCTTGCCCAGCCACGGCATGGATGTCCTGCGTAAACCCTGAGCGCTGAAGGACAAAATCAAGGTAAAGCCAGTTTGGAAAATTCCACACATTTTTGCACAAACTGTGGTCTTAGTTTAAGAAATTAAAAAAAAAAAAAAAGACACCCCTGCTTGCCCAAAGTCAAAGCAAATGGGAAGTTAAGTACTAGAGGAAAAGCCTACGTAGGGAAGGACATTTGCACCACCATCAGCATCGCTGAGTCTCAGTTTGGCCATCTTTTCCAGGTACCTCCTCATTCCCAAAATATTACCAGAGAAAGCGCAACTGAAAAAATTCTTTGGAATCTGTCCCTGATATTTATGCAAATGATATGCTTGGATAGCTTTTCCAGAAACACCCATGTCAAAACCTGCAGTCTATCCTTTTACAAGTTGTTCAAATTGGTGATGCTCTGTGGGTGATGCTGCTGCCATATCTGCTTCTGCTGGACTGCGAGCTGCTGGGACTGGTCGGATGTCGACAGAAGATTTACAAGGGGAGAGACACAATTTGCAGGAATGATCAAACCTGTAATTAGAAATAAACCAGAGGTTGGCGTTGCAAAATTCTTAGGGTTTGTCTAGTCACGGGAAAAGCTAAAGCCATTCTTTGGAACTGAAACAAGTTTCAAAAGAGGAAGAAAAACTATCTTGCTTTCCAATAAAAAAGCTGCTGATGGAGATGCTTTCCTATCTCTTCAGCAATCAGCTGAAGAGGAAGGCTTCTCCTCTCCAAGTCTGGATAGCACTGTAATTCGACAAGAACCAGGACCAAACACTGATCTAGAGTGGCACAGCCACCTTTCCAGGTCACATCCTGGATACCCATCAGCATATTTTGGTCCATTTGATCAGCTAACTGCCCAGAGACAACAATGCCATCAGGACAACGATGCAGTTGCTCTCTTTCTGTCCTGCTGAGAATGCACAATAACTGAGGCTTTCTTCTACAGGGCTTTCAAGTTCAGGCCTCAGCACTTGGTGGGGCAGATGCTGCTATCCTCACTTTACAGACGAGTAAGCTGAAGCCCAGAGAAGTCAGAATGACTTGTCCAGGATCATACAGCTAAGTAAGTGTGACCTTCCCGAACTTCTTCATTTAATCCTCTATCTTCTTTGCTATGATGCCTTTCATGTGGAAAGGATACATAGAACCAAAGGTGGCTGTGTCTCCCTCCTGCTGTCGATTACTGCAGAGCATTAAGGCTGGCTCAGGAAAGGATGCTCAAGAGACGCAGAGGAAGTAGGGGAAGGGCAAGGAGACAGGAAACCATGATGCCAACTATTGTGGAAGAGGTACAAAGCTACCAGAAAGAGCTGAAGGTGACAATTCAACCCTGGCTAGAAAAATACCAATAATAGCTAGCATTATATATAGCATCGGAAAGTCTACAAAGCGCCCTTTACATAGGTTATTGCATTTGATCCTCCTAGCAACCCAAAGAGGTAGATGCTATATCCCCATTTTACAGATGAGGGAACTGAGAGAGGGGGAGGTTCAGTGACTTGCCCAGAGTCACACAGCTGGTAAGTGACTGCGGTCACATTTGAACTCAGGTTTTTGTGATTTCAAGTCCACTGTTTCACCACCTAGCCAGAAATAAAAGAACATTTTGGGGGCCTTTTTCATAGCGGCTTGGACCTATCACTACATCCTTCTGTAACTTCTAACAGAGGCACAGACAGGTTAGGTGATTTGCCTAGGGTCTTTACTCAGTCAGTATGTGTCAGAGGTGAGAGACGAAAAGAGATCTTTCTGACTCGGAGGCCAAGTGCTCTCTCTGGTACGCCATGTGACCTCTTCTAGAGCATATAATTTATCTTTTAAAATAAAAAAAAAAAACAGAAATAAAAAGCAGAAAGCAGTGGGTTTTCTCTTGTACCTTATAGACTAGCACTAGTCACTAAGCAATATAAACAAGACTTACCCACAATCCGCTGTCCATCCTCTGTTCGTAGCCGAACTATCTGCATCTTCACATTTGTGCCGCTGACAGATGCTAGAACTCCCTCAACTTTTGTCCAAACACTCAGTACTGAACCACATAAAACATAATACGTTCGGCATCGAAGACCTATTTCACAAACCAATCCCAAGCTTGCTTTTTTGCAATTGCCTCTCCTGGGGGGAGGGGAGGAAGAAAGAGGGAAACAAATTAATAGACAGAACTTTCTGATTCTTCAATGTCAAAGACACATTCGCAACCCCTACCTATCCCACGAGGCTCCATTCTCCCTTTTTTATTCTTTTCATGTATAACTTTTATCCCAGGATCAGCAAATATTTCTCATTAATCTGTCTTTGTTGTTTTAGATTCTCTATCCAAACTTAGCAAATAACCACTATTTTGTTTGTCTTGGTTCCTTGAAAAAGGACTAAGTTTTTCATCAACTACTTTAGTTATCTAGTCATTTTAATTTTACACTCATTACTCTAAAATGTTAACACTGCCAAATAAATGCTGCTTCTATTACTATAAGAAGTAAGCCAATGATGTATTATTATTTAAAACATTATTTATTGGCAAGACTAAAGCAGAAAGACAATTTCAGTCCCCAGTGGAAGATGATGTATATTCCATCAAATTATCAGACGAAAAGTTATCTATTAGTGCAGAAACAAATTCAGAATTGAGTGCTTCTATGGCAAAACACTAATATGTCTTTAAAGGATCATATCAAGATGCTAGGATTGAAAGATTAATAATGCATAATAAGCTTACTGGTAGAAAGGGTATTCTTATAAAGTTCAAAACTAGTGTTCTGAATAGCATTTTCATGGCAAGTAGTCGATTAAAAGATTAGGCTTGTTCAAAGACCAGGCTCTTCTAGCCCAAAGCACAAGAGATTAGAAAACGTTGATGTTTTACATCCACAATGACAAAATTTCAGATCTCTGAAAGCACTGAAGTCAAACTACATATAGCATTCAGTTTATTCACAAAAGCAGAAGTTATTACCAGAAGGCCTATTTTTAGGTTAGCTTCTTTAAATGTAAAATCTGGAGGATTTTCCTAATACTCAACTCAGTACCATTTTCCCAAAGAAATGTATTGCTCACTGCAAGTCAATGTTACCTATCTGCCCAATAATGAGTAGATTAAAAAAAAAAAAATCAGGCCTATTTTTTTCTATCATTTTTCACCAAATGGGCCACATTCTACCAATTGAGCAAGTAATTTTAGGGAATACAAGATGTCCCGATAGAAAAGGTATGCTAAGACAACTGGAATATTAGAAGCCACTGAATATTCATTCAAATCATACGTAGTACCCTATGAGTTACTAGGAGGAACAAACAAGTAGTTCCTCACCTCCATTAGAAAATGCAATTCATCTAGCAGAATATAATCCAACATATAATAGTTTTGGAACTTCTGGTGCTTTATTCCTATTGTAATTCAATTTGCTTACTCAAGCACTAAATACTAAAATCCAGCTCTGTGATGGTTCTATCTTAAAAGTTTTGGTTTACAGCATAAGAGTGACCTAAATAAAAAGGAAATTTGGAAAACAGGATGATACATTTACTCTCGATGACCAGAATAAGCTGAAATTTGAACACTGAGTATAAAAATCAATGAGGAACATAGGGAATGTATAAACAGAAAAAAAGTAGAAGTCTGCCTTTGCAAAAATCAATATTTAATACTTTAAACTACTTGACAAAACAAAGACATCAGTATTTGTTAAAAAAAAAAATGCAGCCATGTTACTAAATCTTCATTACATTATCAATTATTCTGAAAATCATTCAAGTACTAACCAATATGCATGAGTACATGTATCTGCAGATGAATTATACTGATCTAGCCAGTGAACCAGGGCATCATCTGAAGCCACCTGTAAAAATATGGCAAAATCCAAGTTATGAGATAATAATAGTGCTACACAACACCTTTTTACAGGAAATCTTTCTCGATTTCCCCATGTGTTAGTGCCTTTTTCTCTCCCACCCAAAACTGAACATTCCTTGAGGGACTGGGTTGTCCCTCTGAAATCTCAGTCATCTTGTGATAGTCATCCTATACATTTTTAATAAAATCAGAATCACCATTTAAAAAATAAATTAGACAGGAAGTTCACAAAGTCTATAAACACATAGGAAAAGTACCTTCTTATACTTCTTTTTCAGATCGGCCAAAGTCTCTAATTTAAGCTGTTTCCCAGTATTTGGTCTATAAACTAGGAAAAGCTTCTTTTTGGGATTCACTTCTTTCACCAAGATGGCAGTTTTCTTGTTATTTCTTATCTACAAAAAAAGTCAAGAGACATCATTCTAATAAAATATTTTAGGGAGAGAACGCAACTACCTGGCCTACTGTCATTGATTCTTGAAGGTAGCCAAATCTGAAGAGCCATTGTATTTAAACTTCATTGATATGAAACATGTGCACCTACACATAACTTCAAAAAATAAGTTACTTCCACCTTTAGTTTCTTACACTGCAATCATCCCCAATTACCTAACTGCTCCAGCACCCTCACCAGAAAAGATAGGACTACACATCTGTCCTAGACCTCCTCTCTACTAAAAGGGAGTTTCATCTGCTTTCTTTTCTAGGACCAGGACTGTTACTGTAATTAATCTAGGACAGGAAGCATTTTAGTATTGCTAGTGCTTATGCATATTCCAGGCAACAAGTAGTAGACTGTAGTCACAAAACGTCCCCACGTTCTGTTCTCCACAAGAGTTGCTGGGGCATATGCAACAATTACCTTCCTGGTAATCTTTCTGCAAATACTCATCATTAGAACAGTACTAGGGGGTGACCTAATGGCCCATTCGATAACATTTCTTGAAGTTTTTGGACATACAATAAAACCAACTCCTTTCTTTGCTTCTCCAAGGGGAACCTGTGAATCACCTTCCATTTAACTACAAATTTCCCTGATTCTTCTGGTTTCCCTTCTATCAACAATTACAAGGTTAATAGGATCTAGCTCCTCTGGCCTTATGTCCACCTGCTAGTCACTGGACAACGATCTTAACATGTAGAGGATCAAAAGCCAAAAGAAATCTGGTAGCCTAAAAATGAACTCTGAGCATTCGCTGCCCCTATCCTGCTACTGTGACTACAAAGTAAGTGGGCACAGAGTAAGGATGATTTGATTCAGGGCTTGCCATAGCCCCAAAAGTTTCATCACCAGGTAGCTAGGCTTCTGGTGATGACAAGCTCACGATATCTAACCTCAGTCTTTTCAGACCTTAGCCTGAGAGAGAAGGCCATAGCTTTTGAGAGCACAAGAACACCATAGAGAACGTGTACATAAATTGTTCTACTCCTTATATGTTTGCTGAGAACCTAAGATGGGGAGCCTTTTGAAAGCAGGGAGTACTATTTTTTTTTTATTTCAGGTGCTTAGCACAGTGCTTGTCACATAAACTCTTTAATAAATTCTTTCTGACTGACTAGATAAGAGTTGTAAGCAAAATTAAAAGCAAGCATCAACTTGGCTCCTAACTTTCATCATCATCATCATCATCAGGCAATTTATAATGCTGATTCTTTCCAGAAGGCCATCTGACACTTTCATGATCTTGCATCTAACGACTGCTTCTAAAACTAGTGGATGTCACTGTAGAGGCTCCAGTTGGCTGGTACTCAAATCACTTCTGTAAAGGGGCAAGGCTGGATCCTTCCCAGGCCCTCACCTCCTCCCTGGGGGTATGGGAGAAGGGAAGAGAAGGAGGGGGAGGTTCCCTGGTCTAGTCTCACTGAAGGTGTAATCGGCCAGCAGGTTAGAATAATGAGCTCCCTTCCTAGCCTAGGGGTAATGCTCTGCCCCCCTCTTTTAGAGGAAAAGCTCCAAATAATCAGCTCCCAGCCCAGCCCTGTCACTTTAACACCATTTTTATACCTCTTCAATTTCTATAGAATAAAAATATTTTTGATATGTCTCCTTTAAGATAAAGAGAAAACAGAGGCATCCACAAAATGATGGGATCTTGTTTTCCATTTTTAACATTTTATGATTCTGATATGATCAAGAGTACACTGACCTTCCCTTCTGGGCCTCAGTGTTGTCTGTGCCTCACTTGTCCTTTTATTTTATATCCCTCTGCTCTGCTGCCCTCTTTTCTGGAGGAGCCCAGGGCCGCCAAAATCCCCTGCGACTCCCACCCCCCAGTTTCTGGCTTTCCAGACTTTTGACACTCAGACCCAGGCACTGGGCCCTACCCCACCCCCCACCCCCATGCCCTTCCAGCTCCCTTTTGTGTATTATCTCCCCCTATTAGATTGTAAACTCCTTGAGAGTAGAGACTCTTTTTCCTTATGTTTTCCTAGCACTCACTCAGCAAAGTGCCTGGCGCACAGACATCGACTGATAAATGTTTTGCCTTGCCAGAGAATGTTAGCTAAATAAAGGAGGTTAAAAGTTTCATAAAAGTATCCTACAATGTGGTTTTAAAAACATGAAAGAAACCAATAAAAACTATACTGCTGGAAAAGAAATTGGTCCCATCTCAAATCTCAAAGTTGTTCACATTTATTAGAGGTTCCTACTTGCAGCGATAAATAAAAGCCATCATCTGGGCCTGTCTGTTCCGCCCAAATCTTGGTTGCTTCTTCCCAAGACATTCCTCTCTCTACACTGATCTGTAAGAGAAATAAGGTAAACACTAATGAAGGTACCGCTGTGAGATACCTGACAATGTTTTAAATAAATTTAAAATACACAAAATCTTCAACCGATATTCATCTAAGTATCATATTTGACCGTAACATGATTGCGTATATTAAACTTACTGTGTACAGTTCAACATGGCCTGACGTTGAATAGCCTGGTGTTAGAAATTTCTTAGCATCTGTTTTCCGCACCTTCTCATCTCCAGAACCAAGATCTTTAAAGAATGATAAAATTAATGTAAGAAAAAAAATTAATAATACATGACTATATTTAATTACTTCATTTTGAATTTGCTACTTACCTAAAATACCCATATCATATCTACCATTTTTTTTGGCATTTTGTATGACTGCATTAAGTGTGTCTGAAAAATACTGAAACAAAGCATTCTGCTGGTGCACCTCCATACCCAAAATACGATTTAAGAATTTTCCTATGTTATTGTAATCTGAAAGGGAAGTCACAATAAATCCAATTAATTTAAGTAATAAGGAACAAAGATATATATTTAATCATCATCCTTCAAGGACCATCTCAAGCCTTGCTCCTTTCTTATGTATAGTTAGTTCCCTGATTTCTACAAATCCTCTTCTCATCTGAAATTGTCCTTATGAAAAGGACCATACAATTTTAACACTACAGCATTTTCTCCTGCTACTTCATCTATACATATGCATTGTCTTCTTATGCTCCAATATGTACTGCCAATTACTACATGCCAAGCTTTGTCCACAGCCCTGGAGGATACAAAGACAACGAATGAAATAATCCCCACTCACAAGAAAACTTAGATTTTATCTAGAGACATAAGGACATGCCTAGGTGTACAGAGACTACAAAAAAAAGAGTTTGTCTTTGGATTCTCCCACAGCATTTGCCAAATGCACATTTTTCATTTCCAGAAATAGTCATTAACTTAAAATAGTGAATTCTAATTGACAAGTTAAACAAAGTCAAGAGGAATACCTTTATCAAGAGTCAAAATTCCAGAGCGGTCTTCCACATTTATAAGGCCCACACCTATTAATCCTTGTCGGACATCTACAAGAAAAGACATGAATGCCTCGAGTTACCTCCTGGACAAGCCATTACCTAATCACGGCCATCCATATTTACCACCGTTCTAAAACCCCAGAGAAAAGGAGTTTTATTGTGGATTTCAATTTCACAAAGTGGGCAAAGTGGTGGTGGTGGAAGAGGGGTAGGGGTGAAGGGCTGCCTTGGTACACCCGTTATTAAAGGCTAGATGACTAACAGAAAAAAAGATCACAGAGTTTACAAAGATCTGTTCTTCTGTACTCTGGTAGCTCTAGGGTAAAATCTGGATATAGAACGTCATCCACACAGGACCCTGTTTAAATGTTAATAATTTAATTTGAAAATATAACCTTAAATGAAGCCACTGAAAACAAGTATTCCTACATGCCAAAATCTTTACAGCAGCACTCACTGTTTGTGATAACAAAGAACTAGAAACAAAGCACATGCTCACTGATTAGGGAATGGCTAAAGAAACTGTGGTACAAGAATGCAATGGAATATTAATTATTGCTTTGTAAGAAATAATGAATACAGAGAAGCATGGAAAGGTCCACATGAAATGATGCAGACCTAAGAAAATAGACACAGTGACCACAATAATGTAAAGGTAACAGCATTCACAAAAAAGTGAATGTTGAAAAATTCTGATCACGTGCATTCAACATTTTTTTGTGTGCTGATTTTTGGTCTTTTTTGTATTTAAAAATATTTCCTTTTTACATGAAAATAAAAGATGCCTCTGTAATGGTGAAAATTTAACTGATTAACAAAAGTCTTCAACAAAAAATTTATCTGAAGAAAGATATACTTAACACTTGTGTTTTAAAATTGTCATTAACATTTTCTCAACATAATCTATTCTCCACCTTTTGGTCAAAGCTTTATACTTCTGAAGTGATAATCTGATAGGTAAAAATATAATCACATTAGCCTCATCCTGCTTGTTTTTTTTGGTGAGGCAATTGGGGCTAAGTGACTGGCACAGGGTCATACAGCCAGTGTGTGTTATGTGTCTGAGGCCGGATTCGAACTCAGGTCCTCCTGACTCCAGGACTGGTGCTCTATCCACTGTGCCACTAGCTGCCCCAGAGACTTGATTTTTGATGCTGGTTCTTCAGCCTGGCATATACCCAGTTACTCAGAGTCTTTCCACGGATTTCTTCATTTGCAAATCAAAGGATAGACTAGATCTGCATTTATTTCAGGGATTAAAATGTGCCCATGTACTTAAGGACAGGCAGTACCCAGAGAACAGGGAATAGCTGAAAAAGAGGGTGGCATGAAACTAAGCACTTACTACACCCTAAGACAAGATCAATAGGAGGCATTTAATGAAACTTGTTAAGCTTTGTCGAAGTGATGCAGAAGAAGCAGAGGCAGGAGTTCAGCTTACATGAAGACTACAATAACGTAATGGCCACTAAAGACTTATTGTGGTCGATGTAGTGACCAGTGGTGGTGACTTCAGAGAGCTGGCAGCGAAGCAGGTTTCTCACCTCTCAGGAAGAAAGGATTATTTGTGCAAAATGAGAATGATTTGCAGACATGGCAAATGTGTTGATTTGATTGTCCACAATGAGTGAAGTGGGAAAAAAAACTGTAGTAATGGAATTCAAAAAAGTTAATTTACGAAATTTCAAATACCCCTGGTTAGATGAAGAGGCTTATAACAAAATGGTAAAATGAACTGACAAGTGTTACAATTATTTTCAATTCATAACTGTACTATTTCAGAGTAAAAACATTACTGATATATTTTCTATTAGATTTCAGTTATGGCAAAAAAAGAATATAATTTAAGCAAAGTTCAACTAGCACTAACATTTGACAACTGTTAGGTATTCTTTAAAACACTTAGAATCATCAATGAATCTATTAAGAAAAGAGATAATTCAGAAAAGATTATTTTACAAAAAATACAAAATATTACGAGAGTAGACCTTCACAAGCAGCGTTTACAGTAGTGATGTCTAGCTTAAAATATGAGGCCAGGGACAGACTGTTATCTAACAAAGCGCAGGAAGAAAGTGCTTGCAGTCAAAAGGGCAGGTTTCAAAATGAAGAGAATGGAGAAGGAAGAAAACTATCTTTGCATACTCACCCATCAGGTTTGACATAAGAGGGATTAAATGAAGGAAGATTAGCAATAGACACTCAGTGGTTCAAAAGAAAAAAAAATATGCAACAAAAGAGCTAATAAGAAAATCTATGGTCTCACATAATCATGCTTTCTACATCTATATGTGGAAAATGAAATGGAAGTAAATTTGACCTTACAAAACTCAGTCAAAATTCATGGAATTAGAACCAATGAATGATATTTTAAACACAGACACACAAACAGAGTAGAGCAATATTATAGATTAAGAAGATGGGTGGGGGCAGCTAGGTGGCACAGTGCATAGAGCTCTGGCCTTGGAGTTCGGAGGACCTGAGTTCAAATCCAGCCTCAAACACTTAACACTTACTAGCTGTGTGACCCTGGGCAAGTCACTTAACCCCGATTGCCTAAGCAAAAAAAAAAAAAAAAAAAAGATGGGTGAAGATCAATGAATGTAATGGTAAGACCTTAGAGGCCTTTCCAATAAGAAAAGGGACAAAGCAAATGACTTTGTTATCTTGATTTTATCTGATATAGTCCTAGAATTGCTAGTTATAGCAGTGAGACAATAGAAAGAAATTGAGAAAATAGGTATAGTTAATCAAAAAAGAAACAAAGTTACTGCCTTTTACAAATGATGACAATTTAGAGAATCCTGGAAATTCAAGAAAACATTAACTGAACAATTATTAACTTCAGTGAGATATAAAATAAACCCACAAAAATCAAAGTTTCTGTATGTTACTGAAGAAAACTTAGTGGGGAGATACAAAAATAAATTCCTTCCATAATAACAAGAAAATGTACAAAATATCTGAGAGACTTACCATGAAATATATAGGAATTATATTAACACAAGAATAAAACAGGCTTTATATAGTGGAAACCATAATTGTTGCTCGTGATTGGGCAGTGCTAATCTAATAAAAATTACAATTATCTAAATTAATTCATAAATTCAGTGAGTGCCATACCAATATGCCAAAGTTACTTTATCTGACAAAATAGTGACAATTCAAGAATCTCAAGGGAAACAAAACAAGGAGAAAAAAGATGATAATTTTCATGACTCAAGATGATGAGGAGAGTTCTTGACCAAACAGGATAGAGAAATGACTACAAAAGATCAAATATACAACTCTGATTACAGAAAATTGAAAGGTTTTTGTACAAACAAAATTGTTTCAGGGAGAATTCAAAGGGAACAGATAAACTGGGGAAAATTTTTTATTTGTTTTAATTTACTGTTTTCACTTAAACAGTTTAAAATTTTACCTTTGAAGAATTCTCCTGGATAGTCAGGAGGTGGTGAGACCATCGGGGAATCTAGGTTCACAATAGATTTCATAACAATTTCCAAAGCATTTCTCCCATACTGAAGAAAAAAGAGAGAAAGGAAGAACAACCTCTAAGTATTAAATATCCTATATAAAGTTAGCATTTTGCTGTCTGACATACTGAGTCTCTCAAGCAGATACACAGCATGTACAACTAACTTCCAAGTGATTTTGAAAGCTAGGCTCTCAATCAGAAATATTTGAGAATTCCAAGTCTATATGGCATAAGTAAAGGAGGGTTTAATGTAATATTTAGACTCTTACATTGCCCCAAGAACCACAACTGAATGAACACAAAATTTTTACCACTTATACTCGTTTCAGTGTGTTCTCTTGGCTTTCTTATTTTTTTCTGTGAGAGGAACCTTTTGGGATTCATGACAATACTATTTCAAATAAGAGACAAAAATACTTAAATACTGAGACTACAAGGAAAACATACCTTGTTATCAAAATTGAACCTGCTCAAATCTCGAGATTCTGTTGCTCTTCGGTCACCATGTGTGAGCGCCCCCTACCAAAAACACAATTTCAAAATCACAGCACAGTAGCTCCTGTTACCAGAAGACAGCCAAATAGAAACCATCACATTCTTTTAAATTACACCAAAAGTGGCCTTCACAGCAACCTACCAAACTCTCCAGTCTTTTAGCAACTATGGATGCAAATCTTTGCTCTCCAGCCAATTCAGAAATTAGAAATACATATTCTGGAGCAGTAACTTGGTTTGATCTATGAGTTCGTCCTGCATTTAAAAAAAAGAAAGTAAGTGAGCTTGCTCATTAGGTAAGATGATTAGGTCTGTTCTTAGCTTCTAGAGGAGTTGGTATCCAGGAGGACTGAAGCAATAAGCAGAAAGCTCAACCTAAAATGTGCTTGTTTCTGATCTAATCAGCAAAGTGGGGGGATGGGGGGGGTGTTGGTGCACTTGCGCACACGCAGCGCAACACGGGGAGAGCACCACTCTGTAACCAGGAACATGTCAGTCAAATAAATACAAATGCAGCCTTTGGGTGCATTCCTTTCCTCACTGGGAATCTGAAATGAGGCAGGACATGGTGGTGCTGGCAATCAGCTGGGAGATTGAGGATCCAAATGAAGCTTCAGTCTACTGACTTATCAATATATTAGGGAACTATAAACTAAAATAAGGCTAAATTTATATATTTTCAAAATTAAGGACATGTTAATTGTATAATTATTACCTTATTATGCCACGTGAAAGTAAAATACAGTCTAACTCACCAAACTGCTGAATTGCTCTATCGGCACTCCAAGGCAATTCCAAAGTCATATGTACTCTCCGCCTTTGATTTTTAGCTCGACGATCTGCTTGTAATGAAATACCGGAGCTGGCAGCTTCTGAGATAATGGCAATATTCTAGATCAAATAAACACAAAATATAAACGATCTCCGCAAACAAAAGGAGGATGCTAGCACTCTGAATTCCCAATGAGAAAATACTAAATCCAAAATCTCCAAAAGAATTTTGGCTGTATTTATGAAACCTTTGCTCGAAATTACATTTAGCAACATACATAAGCCCCATTTGCAGAAAGAGAATATTAAATAATTTATTACTGCCACACCTACTTTATTCATTCATTCATTCATTCATTCATTTGGGGGTGAGGCAATTGGGGTTAAGTGACTTGCCCAGGGTCACACAGCTAGTAAGTGTCAAGTGTTTGAGGCTGGATTTGAACTCAGGTCCTCCTGACTCCAGGGCTGGTGCTCTATCCACTGAACTACCTAGCTACACATCTACTTTAAACTAAAAAACTACAATGTTTTAAAAGGAGTATTTTTTCTTATCCAGATTATACAAGAATCAACAAAAGCCAACAAATTATTGTCATCTTTGTCCATATCATACTTGTTATATAAACTCCTCTAATTTGGTTTGAGAAAGAGGAATTTTGGTATCACATTTTCTTGTAAGCAACCATGTCTAACAATTACAGTAACAACCAGTTGGAGATGAAATCAGTTCTTATCAAAGTTGTCATGATTTCAGATCTCTCCAGGAAGTCTAGTGGCCACCAAAATGTATAAGTTGGCCTTATCACTAAGTTACAATACTACGAAAATACCTTCATAGTAAATGGCATTTGGACATGATAATGTACCCGTGTAAATAAAATAAACCAAAAAACCCAGTGCTGTAAAGTTTGCAAAGCACTCAATATATATTATGTCAATTGACCAAAACAAAACCCATTTAAAAAATCCTCACTTTATACATAAGGAAACTGTTGTTCAGAGTTAAAGTGACTTGCTTAGGATCATGGAGCTAGCGAGTATCTGAAGCAACATCCAAACCCAGGTCCTCTTGACATGGTCTTTAACAGCCAGTTAAATCAGATCACCATTTCTGAGAGGCAAAAGTGAACAGAGTCACGTAACCAGCTTTTAGGTGGCTTGGGAGAAGTCAATCCTGGATTCTATCTATTTGGTTTGAAGAGGAAGCAACAGTTCTAAGTTTTGTGTTTTTTTTTTTTTTTGTTTTTCCTCATCTTTTTTTTTTCTAAGCAATGGGGTTAAGTGACTTGCCTAGGGTCACACAGCTATTAAGTGTCAAGTGTCTGGTCTGAGACCAGATTTGAACTCAGGTCCTCCTGACTCCAGGGCTGGTGCTCTATCCACTGTGCCACTTACCTGCCCCAACAGTTCTAAGTTTTTATATAACATCCAATGAAAACATGCCAAAGGGCATAAAAAGCACTTAAACCAAATGATTTTAAGGGATTATATGAAAAATGTTCCATTACAGTATTATCTGAAAAATATATAACCACCAATGTTACTCAAACCATATTTATGATAGCAAAATTTGTCCAGTTAAAATTATTCCCTGAGATTTAAGTAATGTGTCTTGTGCATACTAAGTACTTTAAACACTCCCTGAAACTTGCCTTATTCCCATCCATGAATCTCTGCTTTTCTGTGATGTTTAGAATTTCCACTGGCACGTCAGCTTCAGACCTCGACTCGTAAGATATGCTTCCATCATCATTGCTTACTACTCTCCCCTTTCGGCCAGTCATCTGGAAAAGGACAAAGTGGTTACTTCTCAACCGAGGCAACGGAGCACAAGGGGACAATACTTTTAAGAACTCCCCAAGAGACAAGATGGAAAGGGAATTAGAGGTCACTCAACTTGGTAAAAAAAAAAAAAAAAAAAAAAAGGGAGGGCCCTCAGAGTGTCAGAAATGAGCACTCACCCAAAGTCACAGAGACAGGATTCCCACCCACTTCACTCCAGACCCAGTACTCTTCCTGCTACTAAAGCCCTACCAAAGGAGGGACAAAAATCCCTGAGACTTTCAAAGCACAAATCATAATACACAAAACAACAGAGCCTTCATTTGAGAGCTTTTTAATTACCTACCTCAGCCACATTCTCTGGGCCACCCAGCTCATCAATAAGTTCATCCAGTGTATTAGGAGGAAGATCTTCAGCTAATTTTTCCAATTTGTCCAGCAAATCTTTCTTCATCTGCTGGGCTCTTTCAACAGCATCCTGACTTGTTACAAGGCTGTTGCTGTTACTATTATTATTAGCTATAAGAGAAAGTCAATACACAAAATCAGTAGTAAGCTTTTAAAAAATTACACTTAAAATACTATATATACTTCCTCTGTAAAGAAATCATAATCATACCTTGTGTATTATTAGGAGTAGTGACAAGAGACGCAGAAGAAAAACTTGGTCGTTTTGATCCCAAACCTGACGCTAATAAGGCACTTTGAATAGAATCTGGATCAATACTTTTTTTCTTTTTTTTCTCTTTGCTTTTCTTGTGGTCTTTTCTGATTAACCAAGGATCTGAATATGAGAAGAAATAAGTTCAACATTAAATGAAATGAAATTTGTCCCCATCACATGAGCCTGTGGATGTGTTGGATGATGAAGAGTTACTTACACATTGTCATAGATAAAAGCTCTATTTTTGAAACACTTGGGTCAAACAATACTTTACGGTCAACTTTTACTCCTATTTATTACTACCGTGCATAAAGGAAATTACATTTAAAAAAAATTCAAACAACATCACAATGTTATTTTTAAACGTAGTAAGGATTTAAGAAAATATAAACTTGCCATCTTCATCATCTTCACTAGATTCATCCCGAAATGGGTTGAAATCATCATCATCTCCAGAACTCATGTTTTTTGAGCTCTCATAGTCAGTTTCTTCATTATCAGACGCATCAGATTCACTTCCACTATCATCAGAACTGCTTCCAGTAAGGCCACCAACTTTCCGTGCTTTTTTGGCCTCTCTGCTAATTTCTTCCCCTATATTATATCATAAAACAAAATGAGTTGGCAAAAATATTTTTTTTGATTCCCAAACACCAGATTCAGTATTTAATCCTAAGAAACTATTATTTTAAGTAATTTTTCCATAACAACTACAACTTTTAGGAGGTTTTCCCCAAATCAAGTCAGAATACAATAACCTACATGTACTTCTTACCCAGCATCTGCCTAGCTCTGTGTTGGGGATACAAAGATTGAAATGGAAGAGGCTCTGTCCACCCTCATATACTCCTATGTATTCTTGTACAGAAATGGAATCTTGATAATTTGCCTTACTGAAGTATTTTTAAAGAGGCCTCTAATGTCGCTTCATTAAAATCTATGTACCAACCAAACCATCTAGGTATATGGAAATTTCTCTTTGAAAAATCCACTCAGGAGGCCAAATACTCATCTTAAGGCTAGGAACTAACTGTAAATTCTAAATAATGACCAAGTAATTTTGAGAAGGACTAAACAACATCATTATCAATTGTTCAACAAACTCAAGTAGTTTAAATGATGAAAATTTAGAACTATATTTCAACAAAAGCAAGTTCTATAAAATAAAAGTTATTTTCATTTCCCAGTGAACATGCAGAGGAACACAATGTTTACTAAGGCAGGTGGCAACAAGATATGTCAGGAAAATCTTGTCTATCACCTGAGGTCACGAATCAAAGGTATCTGTTGATGCAGGTAGCCCCCCTTTTTATGGGAGGGAGGGAAGTAGGGGAATGATGAAAAGTGTCATTTTATAGGTACAGTAAACTCCCTCAAGGGACGGGGATATCTATTATCTATAACCTAAAGAGTTGTTGGAAGCAGTGAGAGGCTGTGATTTGTGTAAAGCCACACAAGCCAGTACTCGGCAGAAGGAACAATGGAACCCATATGTTCATGACTGCAAGGCCACCACTCAGCAGCCAGTACTGTCACGATGCCTTGCTAAGCAACAGCCTTAGTAAAAGGCATATTGGTGGGTACGTGACACTCAGAAACTGAGCACTTTGGGAGGACGTCCTATTGCTGGAGTGCTTGGTAAAGGTGGTTTCCTGGCTGTCTGGTGATGCGACTATCAGGATCTAATATTTCAGAAGCCCTGCCAACAGTGATGCAACACAAGGCAACAGAAGACAGTGGGATACATGAATTCACTTCCCCCCCAGGCTCTTCAGCTAGTTTGATCATTTAAGTTCTGAAGGCTCCACCAGGACAGGACAGGATCATCACATTGTAGAGTTCCCACCAGTTCCTCTACCAAACAAGTTAAAAGGCTAGGCTTAGGTCTCCCGGAATCTTGAAAATCAATAAGTAAAACTGGATTTTTACTCACAGGTGGACGACACTGGTTCAACTTCACTTTTTAGCCAAGTTTTAGAAAACTGTATTTAGTACATAATTAAAAGACTTAGGATCAATATCTGTGAAGGATATTTTAGGAATAGCTCCAATTTTAAGAACTATCTGGTTTTAAAATTTATTACTTCCCAATATTCAAATTCCCATATGCATTAGAGAAGAGCACAAACCTACCTTTCCGTTTCTTTATTTTATTCTCCTTACAAGGACTATCTCTGGGGGAGCTGTTGTTACTCTGAGCAGTCAAATCAATTCCGAGCAAACTAAAGAGTTTCTTTCTGTCTGGAGCTGGAAAGTGTTTTTCAATGAGTGATTGTAATACCCCTCTGTTTAAGGAATAGAAAAAAATAATCAAAAAAAAACTGGCACTCAGTATATCCTAACAAAATATCATTTACCAAGTAGGAAAAAAACACAGATTTAGGATTTTCTAATAAATTAGAGTAAACCAATCATTCTGATCCTTTACATTCAAATAGTTTAAACAAAGCTAAAGTGAAATATATCATGGTAATAACTGAAAATATGTAAAAATACACTGGGGAAATCATATTCTCTTCTCAAGTGATACTTCATGTATCAAGCAATGTTCTCCATTAAAAGCACACTAGTTTTAATAAATAAAATCAGCCTTGTAAAAAGCTTAATGCTTATCCAAGGTAAGAGAGGCTAGGTAGGGAAACCAGAAAAAACTATTTCATTAATTTTGCTCCTGGAGTTACCAGCAAGAGAAATGAGAGTTGTGGTCAGTAAGTTTTTTTGGTACTGATTTATAAGGTTGAAAAAAAAATCCCTCTCAAGAAAAACAACAAGCACAGACTCAGTGTTAATATACCATCCCAATGAAATGAAATAGTATTCAGATGGATATCTCTGCATTATACTCTAGATCTTTGCAGGCTATGCCTCAAACACTGTGCGCATACCCAGTGACAGTCCCTACAATCTTTCTGTGCCCGTACACACCCTGGCTGGTATGCAGACCACTTGTTTTTTCTTAGCACGGCTGCCCAACAACTCCAGAATCATTAGGTGGTGAGCACCACTACAAAAAATAAACTCAGGATAACTGCAGGATAATAAAGCAACCTATTAAGAGTCTCCACAGCATAGAAGTCTAATGTACTAAGTCACAAAATAATACTAATACTTTGAATGATGCTATCAGAAAGTGTAAGATTTCACAAAAAGTGAAGTCAGATTTGAACATTAATTTTCCAACAAATGTTAAATTAGAGAAAAACTATTTTAATTACTGAAAAACTCCTAACTTTTAGAGTAAAATATACTAGTATAGATAAAAAGCTCAAAGGCAAAAACAAAAACATTACTTGGCTGTTGACACAAAGTCGTTTAATTCTCCTCCACCCTCTTCCAAGGCTTCTAAAGTTCGAGCTTCTCCTGTTGACTGCAGACCAATGACAACACACTAGAGAGGAAGAAATAGATTAAGTAAAATATAAAAGGCTGAAACAAAGTAGGAAATGTATGGTTAAACTTTGGATATAGAGACAGGTTTTCTTATAAAAAACTGTTATACAACAAGAAGCTTGTTTACTTTTATTTTTTTGTGAGGCAATTGGGGTTAAATGACTTGCTCAGGGTCAGGCAGCCTAGTAAGTGTCAAGTGTCTGAGGCTGGATTTGAACTCAGGTCCTCCTGACTCCAAGACCAGAACTCTATCCACTGCGCCATCCAGCTGCCCCACCTGTTTACATTTTTAAAGAAGATTCCCACAGCACAAATGAATCAAGTGCTACAATATGAAAAATCTCAGCACCACCAAAAGACCCCCAGAATCATAAGAAATGAAAGAAATCCTTCCAGATTGTTGAGTCCTGGCCCTTCATTTTACAAATGATAAAAAGGAAGCCTCACCACAAACTGTGCCATACGAATCAAGGTCTTTTAGTCTAAGTCTTTCAGTCACTTACTTTTCCGTTCTTGATTTCTTCTCGAGCTAGCTGCACAACTCGCTTAACTTTGGATGCTATACACAGGTATTTGAAAAACCTCTGATGAGCGGACCAGAACTGCCCCCACATGGATTTCTTCATTCGTTGCTCTGCATCTATAAGATCAGCAGCTTGCTGAAATCTCTCTCTAGCATTTACCCACTAAATAAAAAGAAATAACAGTTTACATGCCGCACAGTTAAATAGAAAGTTTTTCAAATAAAGATCCTTGAAGATTTTCCAGGTTACATTTGAATATGTGACCAAACAATCAATGACAAAGCAGAGTCAACTTTTCCTCTATAGTTTCCTTGTTTACATAGAATATCAGTATATTTAATTTTGTATAACATTCTAGACAATTATAAAACTGAAGGGTATGAATAGATTTTTAAAATATTAACTGAGTAAGTAGAAACTTAAAAGCTTCTTTAAAAAAAAAAAAAAAAAAAAGAAGTCACTGGTTCAGTAACCAGTTATCCAACAAGTACTTTATTATTCTTTATTTCATATTTTAAAAAAAAAAAGGGCAGATAAACTTTCACCACACTAAGCAATATGACTGAAACAGCAAACGTGAATTTTAAAAAACACTAGGAAAAGCCAAGCTTACCAGTTTTACTGCTTTATTATACATTCTAACATAGCTCTGGGAAAGGAGAACTTCTTCAATTTTGAAGGTCACACCAGTAAAGCTCAACTGCCTGGCGATGTACATGCCTCTCAGCTTCATATCCATAGCAACTATTTCCATAGCACCAACACCTCTGAAAAACACCAATACAAAGTAACCCAGTAACATCATTAAAAGAGTAAAAACTTAATAGAAAATTATTTTCATTTCTAAAAGAGACAAAGCAGAATTTCTATACTGTTTACCTTCGCTCTACAGCTTGAATGAAATCGCTGAATTCTCTAAATGGGGTTCCCTCACCCCATATTCCAAGCCGGTTCATATAGGCCATGTTCCTCGGTTCAGAAGCCCCTTTAGGAAGGAGAAAAAACAAACCCCCAACCATTAGTGTCCGTGTGTGTGTGAGGGGAGGTGTAGGGAAGAGAATAGGCATACTGGGGGTAAATAAATAAGCCCATACCTGTGGCACTGGCGTAAACCACTCTGGCTCGTGGCAGTTTGTTCTGCAGCTCTAATACAGCTAAGCCTGTCTTGGTTGGTTTGGAAGAACCAACAGGACATAAGTTCTTAGCTTTGTGGCATTCATCAAATACTATCTATAAGGAATGAGTCAGGAAATGAACCTCATGAACACCAGGGTCCCCAGGCGTGGGATGAAGAAGAGCTGTATCTTTCAAACCTCTGAAACCTCCATATTCTTGCTTAAGGAAGAAATATAAAGGTTGGGGAGGCACTTACAAAGGTTTCTCTACTCGCCTTGGGGCCTGGCAACAGTGAGAAAAGGGACTGTGCCTGCAGATGTCTTAAAGATACACCAATTAACTCTTCAAAATCTCAGTAGGTCTAGAAGAACAGGTTGAAAATCCCCAAAATACAGCTTAGCAAATCCCATTTTACTTAGAGAACACACATGGGAGTCAAATTAAACTACTTTTCTTCACAGGATTAGGCTGCCCTAAATATATGCGCATCTTCATATGTATAGAATGCACACTTACATTTTCAGAGAATAATACATACCATTTCTTCACTTCTACAACCAATGAAAACTCTCCTTACGTACACTCTTTGCTATCATTTTACTTGAGAATAGTATTTTAAGGTTTCTTCTTATATAACCTCTCCATTTAGCCCCCCTCTTTTCCAACATGTAAAGGATACCACTCCATCAAAGTCATCACTGCACCAATGCAGAAGCTGCTTTAATCTTGTTTTGTATTTGCCACCAGACTGACTTTCACCAATGAGAGAAGAATAGGTGGCAAAAATAACGCCCTTTTTTACACTCCCATTATGTTTGGAAGAAATTTTTCCGTATTTAAACTAGAAGAGAAAGGATAATAATTATTCACAATTAGCTTTACAGACCAAAAAATTCTTTAACATTCAGCATCTCAACTGGATCCTAACAGCTAATTCAGAGGGGAAGGTAGTGTTACCCATCCTGCCTAAAGCCATACTGAGTGACCAGGGTGGAACAAGAACAGGGGCCTTCTGACTTTCAGTCTAGGCCAGGGGTTCACTTTACCACCCTCTGAACCAGCTCTTCACTACCTTGTCTAGGTGGTGATTTCCTTTGAACTTTATTATACGTTCTGCAAGGGCAGAAGAGAACAAGAACTACAAATAGGGTTTTCTTTTCCAATTATATGGGTTCAGTAGTCAAACAATACTTTTAGATGCTAGCCATTTTGGGCTTTTACGTGATTTGTCTTTAAAGCTTCTGTTGACATTCACTGACCCGTTCAATATACCACATAATCTAAAAGTATGTAAAAACACAGAAGTAAACATTGCCAGAACTAGACAGTGAAGATGATTTTAGAATAAAATTCTATTACTATACCCTTGTCAAAATGTGTTTTCTCTCTGTAAAATTATTTTTAAAAATTAAGCTTAAAAATAGAAGTTCTATGGTCAACGGTCAATCACAACCAAATTTGCAAGACACCCCAATTGTTCATTATGGAAATTTCAGGGCTTATGCTACAAAATCCAGTCTTGATAGTAAGAAAGTACAACAATTTTAGCATAACCCAGTAGTGGGGCAAACGAGAGATAGAACACATATTACAGCTCCAGCACTGCCGTTTGACACTGGGCAAGGTACTTTACCTTAATGTGCCACAGGTTCCCTCACCTCTAAAATGATAATACCTGTTTATTGGGTGTGATAATGGGAAAGCAGTGTGAAAGGTTAGAGCTTTGTGTGTAGGTCAGTGTTCCTCTCCTCAAAGCATCAACATATTTGTGCTGCTATTTGGTCTGGGCTGTGGCTACAGAGAGTTTTCTTTTGGTGACAGGGCTGTTAGAGCAAGGAGACGCTCTCAGCTGCAAAGAGCTCTCCTCATCTGATGCATTTTTCATCTGCCACCTGCTAACCACAGCCAAGCACAGACAGATTTTTAGGTACTTTTATCAGAGTAACTGTTACAGTATAGGGCAATAAGCAGCATTGTGGCCAAGATGCAAGGTTCATAGTCACTAGTTACTCTGGGGAAGGTACTACACATCAAGATATGAAAATTCTTCTGCTGTATGCAGCATCCTTCTTTTTTGCTACTCACTATCATGAGATTAGACCTATACATAAAAGCTACACATATGCCGCATCATTCTGTCGATACTGAAAGCACGCAAGGCAAATCCACTGAGTTTTGAGGAAAACAATATTCAAAATTACTCAAGTCCTCTACCTAAAGCAATTAATCTGTGTGAATTTAAAATATTTTACAATAAGTGAATAACTGATACTTGGTCAATAACACCACAAAAAACATATAGCATGCATTTTAGTCTCCTCACACAAGCATACCTAAAGTTTTGCCTCAATCGTACATAGTAAAAAGTTTCCACACCTTGTTTAATGAATGAACCGAAATGTTTTTTGCTCCAATGTCCCTCAAATCTCTTTCGGCATCATATTTTAAATCATTTGATACACTAAACCTGTCAAAGGGGGAGGAAAACACCAAGTTAAATAGATATCACATTATCCTAAAAGAATTTTGTTTATTTGCTTTTTTGTGAGGCAACTGGGGTTAAGTGACTTGCCCAGGGTCACACAGCTAGGAAGTGCCAAGTGTCTGAGGCCAGATTTGAACTCAGATTCTCCTGACTCCAAGGCCTGTCCCCTGTACCACCTAGCTGCCCCTCTAAAAGAATTTTGAATGAAACACACCACACTGTCTTGCACTCCCCAAACCAAACATTTCCCAATTACATATTTGGACAATCAATAAACTTACCATAATGCTCTTTTTCTACTCAATAGGTAATTCTCATAAATTATTCCAGCTATAGTTCTCCCTTTTCCTACACCTGCACCATCACCTATCAAGAATCCAGCTCGATCTCCATTAGGTAGAAAAGTTTCATGTTGCTGAAAGAGAATAGGCATTTAATGAATCATTTCATTATTTACAATGATACAAAAGTGAATGTATCTTAAGACAACACGAGATCAACAATGATTTTCCCAAGGAAACAACAATTATTTTTAATTCAAAAAACCACACGCTATATAAAAAAAAATCTTATAAAAATAAGACTTTATATAGCACTAGTACTACATCATACCTGGGCTGCATATGTGATAGCTTCAAGCTGTAATGCTGACAACCAGCCATTATCAATACTTTCTTCAGATATAGATGTTTTATACCAAACATCAGGCGGTGTGACACTTGATAAAGAGCTAGTTTCCACTACCGCATCAGGATGTCTGAGGCCAATTTTTACTGTTTAAAAAAAAAAATAATAATATTAGTCATTTTAAATACAACTGATATCAACTCTATCAAAGGGCATTTCAGCTTATTAGCTGTTAAGAAACATCTTCAGAGGAAGCTAGGTGTGGATGGAGCACTGGCCCTGGAGTCAGGAGCACCTGAGTTCAAATCCAGCCTCAGACACATAACACTCACTAGCTCTGTGACTGGGCAAGTCACTTAACCTCAAATTGTCCCATCCCCACCCCCCAAGAAACATCTTCAGAAGCACAGAGCATATCCATAAATATCTGTTTCTTCTGCTATGAAATGGCACTTAAATATGACAAACTCCCTAAGATGAATGCAATAATGGAAAATTGTTGAAAAAGACATCTTAGTTAATAAGGGGGATAAAGTGGCAACAATCTGCTAAAGTGCTACAATGACATCAGTGAGATCATGGACCAAGAACAAACTAACTATTTTTGTCTTTCTTTTATAAACTAGCTTAAGAAAGCTCTGGAAAATAAAGACCAGAATACTGTTTGCTGTACAATGCTCTATTAGCCACATAACTATCAGTTCCATGGCAAAACAAGACAACATTATCATTCAAATTATCTTAGCTTTAATTTTAAAAAGCTCTAAGAGCCAAGCCTTAAAAACACTCGTAACACACCTATTTTCAGTTTAAAGTCTGACATAGTAAATGTATGTGTAGATACACAGGTATGATCTAAAACTCTTTAATACTTTATGGGCTCATGATTTAATCAATCTAGGTACAACTTTTACAGATGTACACTAAAAAGCTAAAAACAAAAACACCCACCCCCCAAAATACCAAGTGGCCAAGTTGAAATCTGATAGTTGATCAGCAATGAAAAATTCAAACTAATTTTAATTCATTTGGCAAAAAACCAATTCTGTGGCAAACCAGTAAGACATACATTTTATTGGCATATACTCTGCATAGGTTTCTGCATGGCCCATTTCTTCTTCATCTTCTTCCTCTGGTTCTTCTTCATCTTTAACCACTGGTACCTTCTACAATATAAAAAGTTTGCTAATCAAAGAGTGGCTTTCATTTCCTGGACTACTGATAAAGGAGAATACAGCTGCTCATTTTTGGAAACATCAAGTCCCAACTGCAACACCACTAGAATCTTGATAGTTTGATGAAACCTCTCCCAAATCCTGTACATTCTCCTCCTTCTCTCAGACAATCTAATTCAAATCCCCAAACCTCCTACTTCTTTATATAGATTTCTTGCTGGATGATTTCAGGTGTTCCTTCTTTCTTCCCCTTTATTCCAGGAGTTAGAGGCAGAAGAGACCTTAGCAATCACTTAACCTATTTAATTCATAAAGTTGGATGATTTGCCCAAAGGGAGCAGGGAGGATTTCGCCACAATACCCAGCTGCCTCTCCTCTGCAATGGAGGGCCTTTGCCTGGGATGGCTCTTATATTCCACGTCCTTCACATTCACTCCCAGAGCAAGCCCAGGGTTGGCAGGATAGGAAGGGCAACAGAAAAAGAGCAGGGCTGAGCCCACTCTTCCTCTGCTTGAACCAGCTCACAGGCAACTCCTTCCACCCCCCTGAGATGAATGCTCCTACTCTTCCTCATAAAAGCACTGTTATATGATGTGATAAAATGTTATCATGCTTTAGATACATCTTGAATTGAAATCCACAATAAGGCTTTTTTCCTGGGATTCTAATCATTTACCCGTTTCTGGAGAAAAATGCTTTACAAATTCTCAACGATCAGTTCACAAAATCAAACAGCTCCCCTTAAAAGATGAGATTGCTTTTGACAAACTAATTAAAGATGGGCAGCTAGGCCTGGAGTCAAGATGGTCTGAGTTCAAACCCAGCCTCAGACACTTTCTAGCTGTGTGACCCTCGGCAAGTCACTTAACCTTGCCTCAATTTCCTCATTTGTAAAATGAGCTGGAGAAAGAATTGGTAAACCATTCCAGTATCATGACCCAAGTGGGTAACAAAGAGCCGGACAAAACTGAAATGACTCAACAACACTAAAGAAAGTCCTTCCAATTCTTTTTTCCCCCTAATGTTTCCTTCCACATCATTGCCCAAATTCTGGTTCTGGCCCATTATACACTATGTCGACATTGTGGCAACAGCCAAACCTCATCCCTGCCTTTGTCCACTAGTCTTTCCCCCCTCCAATTCCCTCTATATACCGCCAGTCTCATTTTACTAAAACATCCACAGTGGAGCTTTTTTGTTTGTTTTTGGTCGAGAGAGACAGCAGTGCAGTGCCCAAAACTCAGGCTTTAGTCAGCACATGTGCTGGCTCTGGAAGACTTGGGCAAGTCACTATTCCCTTCAGGCCCCCAGAGGAGCTTTCTGTGACTAATACTTATAGAAGTGCTGCTCTGCTTTGAGAGGACATTTCTTCCTGGGAGCGATGAAACCACAGGTCTGGTCAAAGACAGAAACTTTAATCACGTCCTCTTGCTCAAAATATGCCCAAGGTTCTCTACTCCTCCCAGGATCAAGTCCGAGCTCCCCCTCAGCCTGCCAATCAAGATATTGGAACAAACGTCTCAACACCCGCCTCTCAATATCTGTCTGCTCTCGTGAACCTTACCCCCCCCCCCCCGTATCCAATGGCTGAACAGCTCAAAATATTTTACTCTATTCACTTTTGAATTTTGCTAGGAACAAATTCAATATACTTTCTTATCCCCAAGGAAATTTAGCCAGATATTCCTTGAAAACTCACCATAGTGGGCGAAAAACTTCTCATTTTGATATCATTTATCCATATTCGTGCAACTTCTTTATTAGAAGCTTCTTTCTTGACTGTTCCATTGCTGACATCAGCTTTAGAAAAAGAAAAAAGCCATTGCATGTTTTAAAGAGCAATTTTCAATTCCTGTCTCCTTCATGGTTTTACCATAAAGTTTACCCACCCCTACAAAGGCTTAGGATCCCATTACAGCCCAACACAACTACCACTTTTTCAATCTTTATTTCTTACAGAAATTATACCCTAGAATTTTAATACCACAACTTATTGGACCAAGGAACACTTTCATGACAATTTTAACCTCAACTAATCAATGTCTCACTAGAAAAATGTGGACAGAAGAGTTTATGAACCAAGGGGGGGGAGGGAGAACTACACAAAAACCTGGATTTAAGATACATATAAAAGGATAGTTTTCTTTTGAGACACCTAAGTGGTTGAACAGAAACCCACAAACCCAGTGTTATCACCAAAGTGGAATCATTCTTACCTGAGTTTATGGTACTTACTACCTTTGAAGGCAAAACAATTATTTCTGGAAGAAAAAAATCCATTTGGGAACTTTTTCCTCCCTCCTCCCCTTCCCAGAGATAAAAACTCAAAACAATTCTGTGCCTGATGCTGAAGGGGGCTCTTGGTGCCCTGTTACTCTACAATAAGAACAGCCTGACGGAAATCGATGGGAGACAGAAATCTCATACAAAGATCATTCATCTAAGGCAGCATGGCACCATGGAGAGAGGTAGCCTTGAAGCCAGGAAGACGTGAGAAAACACGCACACGTACACTGTGCAAGTCATTCAACTTGTTGGCATTCTACCCCAGCAGTATCAAACTCAAGCAGAAATAGGAACCATACAGAGTACAGGAGGATCCTCGTGAGCTAAATGTTGACTTATTTTAAAAATGTAATGTTATCTATGTTTTACTGTATGTTTTCTAAATTCTGTTAAATATTTTCCAATTACATTTTAATCTGGTTTGGGTCAGTACTCCATAGTGGCACTGGCGCATCATGTGGCCTGTAGGCAGCATGTTAGACACCTCTGTTCTGAAAGCCCTTCAAAACTCTCAGTTCCAGAAGCGACCTTCACTGGTAAAGGGAGTTGACATACAAAAAGTACTTTGCAAACCTGAAAGCACAATGTAAATACGAGCTGTTGTTGTTATTATTATTCCTGTGACAATGAAACCAAGAGGCTAATTCCTCTCACTAGGTCAAATGACATGTTCAGTTAGAAGTAATAAGGATCAGGACTACTGACTGTCTTCCTCTCCTCTCACAATTCCCCATGGGAACACCAGGGACCCCATGAGGCCTAGAGAGTCCAGCAGCAGCAGAGAAGCCTTATTTATCCTTTGTACCAGAGTCAAATCCTAGAAACAATGAAAAGTTCCAAACCACCCAGCAACATAAAGGGGTTAGCTCTGAATATCTAAGTCTCCAAGTCACTCTTCATAGTTTCTTTTACCAATCCCAGATCTTGCAATCAACAGACACGTCAAAGGATGGTGTGGTTATTTAGTTGTGTCTGACTCTTCATGACCCCATTTGGGGTTTTCTTGGCAAAGGTACTAGAGTGGTTTGCCATTTTTCTCTACCTCATTTTACATATGAGGAAACTGAGGCAAACAGGGTGAAGTGACTTGCCCAGGGTCACATAGCTAGTAAGTGTCTAGAGGCCGGATCTTAACTCAGGAAGATGAGTCTTCCTGACTTCAGGGCACACTATCCACTCTGCCATCTATCTGCCCCACCAAAGGACAGTATAGTGACTTGTTAAATTGCTAAGAAAAAAAAAAAAGGTGGAAAATGTTTAAGCATCCCAAAGGCACATAAATTAATGCTGTTTAGGGGTGGTTGATGGGGGTGCTACTTAACATTCTAGTCATCTGCAAAGAAAATGAAGTGATGCATTGTTTAGGGATGTTTTATTCGGAGTTAGAATTTATATTGGCTCTACTGGAAAGTGTGGAGCTGGTAACAACTCCCTATTAAAAGGATTACCTTCTCTATCTCTAATCTGATGTCAAAGTACATTATTTACCATTTAATCTAAACCAACAATTATGGCTACATTCTATTCCTACTTTGGATTCTTACCATGCTAAGCACTTGGTGTTGGGAAGTAGGTATACAAAAAATGGTCTCCTGCCCTACAGGGGCTTGCTATTTTGAGGACAAAAGAGACAAATAGGAAATGGTTATAACAAAACCTATGACGCAGTTTCAAAAATGATTCTTACATGATGTGATGGTAAATGTTAAACTTGAATTTAGAAGGCAGATACATCCACGAAGGCTGATACATCTATGGAAGGAGAAGGTGATGACTGAACTACGTACTGAAGAACAGGCAGAATTTAAACAGATGGAAAGGAAATAAGGGTATAGGGCATTCCCGGCAGAAAGAACACAGGCAGGAATAAAAATGGCCTGTTCAAAAGACAAACAGAGGGGGCAGTGAGGTGGCGCAGTGGACAGAGCACTGGCCCTGAAGTAAGGAGGACCCGAGTTCAAATCTGGCCTCAGACCAAACACTTGACACTTACCAGCTGTGTGACCCTGGGCAAGTCACTTAACCCCAATTGCCTAAAAAGAAAAAACTTGCTTCAAAAGACAAACAGAACAGCTTGACTGAAACTGAGGGTTTATGTCAGGAAGTAGTGACAGAGGGTGATATTTGAATCCTAGGTCTGATACTTCCAACCTGTGTGACCTAGGACAAGTGCAGGAGGTACCCTCGAGCTTGCCTCCTCACCTGTAAAACAAGGAGATTGGACTAGATGGCCTCTAAATTCTCTATCTGTGATCTTATGAACAAGTGTTGCTGAATGACAAAATATATACGGAATTGAATAAGGGACAGAGTCAAACATAACACTAAAGTTTTGAGCCTCAAACAACTGAAGTATCTTAACAGAAAGTGAGAATTTGGAAGCTTTAATCTAGTTCTGTACATACTGATTCTGAGATGATATACATGTAAGTGGAGATGTCCTATCAGAAACTGACAGTATTCCCAGCACAGAAAAGACAGCTGAAGCTATAAAACAGAAAAGCATTTCACTGAAAGAATATAGTAAGAAAAAAAGAGGGGAAAAGAAAAGAATCTCAGAGAATGCCCAGTTAGGAGGCAGGAGGAGTCGTCAGCCTTCTGCTCTGTTTTCAATTCCTGATTCAGTGTTTTCCTACTTTAGTAAAAAGAAGAGCTTCTAGTACCTAAGTGATTACACCACTTTCAATTTCCAACCCGACATCCCTCTCCCAATCTTATTCCACTGCAATGGCTTTCTAGGGCCTTTCCCTTACCAGTCTCTTTTCTTCCAAAACTGCTTCCATGAGCTGGTAGTCAGTGACTCTTAGCTTTCTACACTAGCATTCCAAAACACAATGCTTTCAAATCTGTGCTCTACTTTTCTCAACACAGTCCAACAAGTAGAAAGCCTCTACTCTCAGTCCACACACAGACCAACCCCCTTCCCCAAAACAAAACCTTCTCAAAACCAAGAAAGTTACAATCAATGCTGATTATCCACAAGTGAGTTATACATGTATCTGAGGAATCATTCCCCTGCTGTGCTTCCTAGATCAGTCAGGCCCATGACCCTATCTCCATGGAAGGGAAATTTACTATGTATTCAGTGAGAAGCACACTAAAGACTGCCCAATTAAGGGTCTCTAATCCTAAAAGGCAAATGTCCCTTAAGCACAGAAGAGTTTCATTAGTGAGTTTCTGTAGTGCTTTTAAGATGGAATTAATGATTGGCGGTATCAAAATAAGCAACTGATTGCTTTAGAAGGTAATAAGTTCCTTGTCACGATGGGTCAAGAGTGACCACTTGTTCTCAAGGGATCGGATTTAAGTTTGGGTACAAGCTGGACTAAATGATCTTGTGGTCCCTTTCAAACTCAGGTTCTAGAAAACACTATTTTCTCCATGAATAGCAACTTCTTACACTGACACGGGAAACTATGCTGGGTAGGTATTTCAAGTATTATTAACTCCACTTGGCAGATAAGGAAACTGAGGTCCAAAAAGGTCAAAGGAGATGTCACAAAGCTGGCAAGTTGCAGAGCTGGTATCGGAACATGGGTTCCTTGGCTCCAAATCTATGCTCTCCTTCCTGTCCCCATACTGCTCCTCAAATGAAATGTTTCCCAATTTTCCCAGACGGGAGTAATCTCTCCCTCCTGTGAATGATACTTTGTAGCTCTCTTAGTGTACTTTCATATTCTACCTTTTATTACAGTTAAATGTGTACTTCTCTCCCCACTACAGAGTTAAGCTCTATGAGGACAGAGATCATGTTGTTGAGTTGTGGTTTTTGTTTTTTTTTGTTTTGTTTTTAAATTCCCCCCAAAAAATGTGCCCAGGGCCTCAATAAAAGGCTGCTAAATGAAATTCCTGGTGATAAGTCAGGTATTTTAGATCAAAGCTATTTAAATCTTTAAAATTTACATATACATATATGTTATACATCCTGTATACAACATACCAATTCATGTAGAAAATTTTCCCCATGCCCAATTCTCTTATTTGACTTAAAAAAAAAAAGACATTCTTAATTTCTCTTCCTCCCGAAGAAATCAGAAAGGTGTTAATGAACATGAGAAGACTTACTGGCTGCCGTCGCCACTGGCTGAGCGATGTTAGCAGGCGGCTGCAGTTTCATGAGTTCATTAAGACTATTATTTTTCAGCAGATCTTTCAGCTGGATCTGGTCCTTGGAAGGTGTGGTGGTCAAGGCATTACGGACTGCTGGTGCTGAAACCGAAGGTCGTGTATTTGTGCTAGTCTGGATAATCTTTGTTAAAGTTATGGTTTGCCTTGTAGTTGTTACTGGTGTGGTTTTAGTCATCACAATTGTGGTTCCCAAAGTTGGAAGCTGATTTATTTGATTCAGCACAAAAGTTGTAGTAGATGGTGGTTGTGGCTATGAAAAAAAAAACAAACAATATTGACATCAGGGACTCGAGAAGCAGAACTTAGTTTAATGAGAAGCAGAACTTAGTGAATATGTCTCTAAGACAAATGTTACCAAATGATTTGAAATACTGCAGACTGTTTTAACTGCCAGGTCCCTGACAATTTCTGGTTTGTTTTCCTTAATGTCTCTAGCCCTCAATTTGCCTCATCTATATATAAAGTAAATTGGGACTGGACAACTCCCCCCTCCCATCAGGGTGCCTTTAAAGCTCTAAAATTCTATTCCAACACTGAATTCGCTTCTATACCATTTGGTATGCAGAACCCGGGAAATTAAAAACAAAACTACACATCCCAAGCATGTGAATTAGTCTGGCAAATAAATGTATCTCATCTGCAATTAAATTACTACTAAATCTGAGTTTATTATGAACCACATGGTCATGGAATTTAGAGAAGAAAGGAGACAATAAGTTGACTTATGGATAAAGGTTAAGATTTTACAACCCGACTATCTCTCTTATTTAGGTTTCAATGGGCACTTTCATGCAAGTAATGATAGCAACAACTTCTTCTCCATGACCATCTCTTTTACAACAAAATGACAGGAAGGTTCCTCGATGATTTACCACGACAAATGAAAATTCTGTATTTCCATTTTTCAGAACATCCGTAACTTCCACCCTCCAGTCCAATGAATGAACACCTCTTGCTTTTGGTTAATGCACACTCTAAGAGTTTTTAGGATGTGAGAGGAAGTTTAAAATAAACTCAAGAGTACCTCAAGTTTAAATAATATAGGCAGTTTCTCTTCATGCATTGTCTTAATGTGGGCACTGCCCCAAGAAATAAGATTTCTAAATGGAACCATAGTTATGACATACATTGATAAGCATGGCTTTGGAGACCTCAATGAGGTTTTAGACAAATGCTGTGCTTCTATGAGGGGACATGATACTTGAAAAGACAAGAGGGAATCCAATCCAATTGAATTTACTACCAGGTCCCCTTTCTTTCTGGAACCCTACACCCTGGTACTATCATACACAATTCTAAATCATTCTTACCCTAACATTTAATAGTGCTGGAGTAGACACAGTCTCTGGTTCTTGCTTAACAGGAACTGCTGCCTCAGTGTCCAAGCCTAGTTCTAATGCACTAAGTGGCACTGACTGGAGAAAGAGACAGAGAGAAAGAAGAGAGAGGAGGAGGTGTGTGTGCAGTAGACAAAAGATAGAGAAAGAATGAGTGCAAGCAAGTTTTGGTATTTTTGAGATTGCTTATAATTTTCCAAAATTAAAATACCTTTTATTTAAACTGAAAACAAAGTCCTTCAATATGAAGACATCACAAAGGAAATATAAATTCACTAACTTACAATAAAACCTTTTATTTCAATGCAGCTGGGATCTCCAATGAGATGCCAGATCAGCACAATGAACACAATGAACTAAAGGTATCAAATCTTTCTAATCAGCTGCTTTGAATAAATTTGTAGTCTTGTTTTGCTTACAGAGAAGATGCACAAATCAATCATAGATCTAACTTCCTAAAAAATAGTACATATATAAAGATATTATAGGGTTCAACTAGCCAGTAAGTGGATATTACTAAAGTCTAAACAATTTCTCTTACTCTTAAATATGTAGTAACATGTAGTAAAATAATCAGCAGAAATATTAGCAGAGTTCTAGCAAGTAAATACTTAGAAGTAAAGTCATATCCAGCTTAAAACTTTAAAGTTCAAAATCTACGCATACTCTCTGCATGTAAATCACAAAGCATGCCTTAAATTAAGGAAAGAAAACATTAACAACAAAATTCATGAGGTTTTGGAGAATTTTCTTACCTGCTGAACAGGCGGAGTGGGTGTTGTTGGAGCTGCAAGGCCTGGGTCTCCACTATCAATATCAAAAAGATCATTTGGACTAATTCCACTTTCACTCAAAGCAGCAAGCAACAAGTCTTGTCCTGGCTCCACCATCTTTAGAATGAAACATTGAAAACCATTAACATGTCACTTTGATGTTATACTTTACTATTCTCTTTGACATAACAGATTTTTTTGAAAGATGTATTTCTACAGGAATCAAAGTTGACGACCTTTACAATGTACTACAGAATACTGCACATGCTGGGGGAGACAAGAAGGAACAGACCTGGCTGTGGCACTGAGTGGTCAGATAAAGATGTCTGTGGGCCCAGGAGGGAGAAAGGACAAATAGGTCTAGGGGTTCCCTATCGTTAACCAACAACGATCAGGGTCCCAAAAAAACAAACAAAAAAACCACACACACACACACTCTGGGGGAGAGGATGAGAGAAGGCAAGTGTCAGGACCTCTCTCCACTGCACAAATTTTATTGAGAACCATCGGAACTCAATGTTCTCCCTCCACCTCAGCTCCTCTTTCTGCCATCTCAGACCCAGGAGTGGCCACCGGGCTTCTCGATCCACATACCCCACTGGTGGGCCCGGAACTACCCAGTCATACTGCCACAGGTAATCATACTTAAATACCTGTCAAGGAGAAGAATTAAGACTTGATCTGTTTGGTCCCAGAGAGCAGAACAAGGAACAACAGGAAGACAACGTGAAGAAGCAAATTTAGGCTTACCATAAGGAAAATTTCCAAAACATTAGAGCTGTTTAAAAGTAGATCACCTCACTTTCAGTAGAGGTGATCAGGCCAACAACACTAGGTGACCCACTGGTCAGTTATATCGATCAAACAAGCCTTCTTGCTATTCTTCACACATGACACTGGATATCCCATACCATCTTCCCTACCTCTGTATAGGCTGCAATCTATAGTTCAGAAGCAAGTAACTTAACAGTAGATACCAGGAAAATCATAAAAGGTTTACTGTGTGGGGGCCAAGGATTATGTAGTTTAATTTTCGGTTATGACAGTCATATTCCTTAGGACAAAGAAATAGACATCGAGAGGCAGGTAGATGGAGCCATGGACAGGGCACTGGCCCTGGAGTCAGGAGTTCAAATCTGACCTCAGACACTTGACATACTAGCTGTGTGATCCTGGGCAAGTCACTTAACCCCATTGCCTAGCCAAAAAAGATAGAAAGACAGAAAGAAGGAAGGAAAGGAAGAAAGAAAGAAAGAGAGATTGAGAGGTGGTAGCGAAAGCCATTAAAGAAGATGGGTGAATATAAAGCGTGAGAATTACCCGGGTCTCAAAGGTTGAACTGTGCACTGGCCACTAAAGAAAAGAAAGAGGTAGGAAGGATCCAAAAGAACAGTATAGATAAATGGGAAGAAAAAAGAATACACTCCACCTCTGAGAATTCTTGGACTCTTTCAAAGCTTAACGAAATCACCTAGAGGCCTTTCCCAATCCAACCCAGCTGCTTGTGTCTTCCTTGATCTCCCAATCCTATACTTATTTTACATATTTATGTAAGTACATTGCCTCCCCTGATAAGACTAGGTTATCCCCTGATAAGCAAGGTTTGGTGCCCCTAGAGCCCAGCACAGTGCCTGACACATAAAAGTCTCCTAAGATCATTGTCATGGCACAGAGGAGATTTTTGTTCAACTGCACATTGGCTGGATCTAGAATCTTAGCCTGGGGCATAAATACATTTTTCACTAACCTCTAACTGAAATTTACTATTTTCTTCAATTCTAGACTTCTAGTCTTTGGCAAGCTTGCCCAAGGAGTTCCACCAACATGCAAGGAAGGTAGGACAGCTCTCCTTTCCCCAAAACCTGCTTTTGATAAGTAACCAGCCTACTTCTCCTTCCAGTCACAAGCTTCTTGGAAGTTATTCTTGGTAATAAGCTTCACTCTGTTTATATCTTCTTTTCTACTACTTAATAATTACCTAAATACATGGGGCAGCTAGGTGGCACAGGGAATAGAATGCTAGGCCTGAAATCAAGGAGACTCATCTTCCTGAGTTCAAATCTGGCCTCAGACACTTAACCAGCTGTGTAAACCCTGGGCAAATTACTATAACCCTGTTGGTCTCAGTTTCATCTGTAAAAATGAACTGGTGAAGGAAATGGCAAACCACTGTAGTATCTTTGGCCAAAAATCCACAAAGAATCTAACACAATTGAAAAAAAAAAATGACTGAACAACAAAAGCTAAATTCAACCTAACTCTTATTTAATAATAATGCCTTAGAGACAATGGCATTCAGATTTGTAGCCAATAGAGTGAGACCAGAAGAATACAGGTCTCAAAAATCCATTGTTCCTTTTGCCTCTCAGATGTAAACTCATCAGCCAAGAAAAAGGCCCTTTACCTTGACCCTCTTTTAACTTTTGTAGACTTGTTTTCATCCTATAAATCCACTGCACTGCAATATATCTCTTCTTGCCAACATCCACATGGAACACAAGCTTTTACTTAGGTCACCCCCACCTTGAATGTTTTCTTCAACCTCTACCAACCCATGCTCGTTATTTTAAGAAATGGTTTAATTTACCATTCCTTCAAGAAGCATTTCTATAATTTCAGACTATTTTTCTGGTCTACATCCTCTGAGTAATTTTATTTTCAACTTATAAGGTTATGGGTAGGTCATGTAGGTCAAAGGTGCACAACTTATCCGGAAGGGACTTTAGAGACTTAGTCCAATCCTCTCATTTACGGAAGAGGAAACTGGTCCAGAGAGGGTGACTTGTCTAAGACCATACAGATGACAAGTGACAGCACAGGTCTTCTGGATCGAGTGCTCTTTCCACTACATCAGAATGACAGTCAGCAAATACTCAGCAAAAGGAGATGGGAATCCACACATAGAGAGGCAGCTTGTTGTGTGTCCTGAACTTGTAGTCTGAAGGGATCTGGCTTTGAATCCCGCTTTTGACACTGATTAGTTCAGTGCTAATCTCTAAACCTCAGTTTACTAATCTGTAAAACAGAAAAGATACCTATACTACTTACCTCAGAGAGCTATTTTGGAAGGCCTGATTGAGAAACTTGTGTATAAAGCTAAATGGGCACTACTGTTACCAGGTAGTCAGTAGTATTTAGTTGTCTCTTATAAGAATGTTTTCTGTCTTAACCAGTTTGGTTTTTCCACCAAAAAGTGTTACCTGCCATTCCTTATCAGATCACATATTGGTTACAGCTAGCTTGATGGAGGTGCTTTGCAAAATGTTCAAATCTGAGAAGTACTTCACTGTCAAATAGAAAAAGGAGTGACTCAATAGGCAAGCACAAGAGCGGTCAATCTGACCAAGAAAAGGGCAAGAATCTAGTGTTGTCTCTGGGATTCCAAGAGAACTGGAACAGTTTCAAAGAACATTTCTCATACATCATTTTCTTGGTCGAAGGCAGAGCATACAAGCTGTCCATTTGTCTTTTCAACTACAAAAACATATTTTAATTCAAAGGCAGGACGTATGGTGTGAATCTACCTATGTTTTTATATGTTGAATATACACACATGCACCACTCTTTTGGACCACATAACATCTTACAGCTTCACAAGCATGCAGAAATAATCTACAAAGTCTCCATTTATACAACCTCTATCTATAATTCCCCTTTGAGACAGAAGTGTCAGCTTTTTTTTTTTTTTTTTTTTTGCCAAATATAGGTATGGGAGTGGGGAGAAAAGATGTGAATAAAGACTGGTCAGACCTTATCGAAGTGTAGGTGACTGACAGGAAAAAGAAAGACTGGAAAAAAGGGACTCGATGGAGTATGCCAGTAGCTTGCTAACTATTCTCTCTGGAATAGATGGATAAATCTGTATAGGAAGACCTCGTGTCTCAATTAAAACTGTCATGCAAAGATATTAACTACTCCTACAGAACTGAAAAAGTAACAGGTACATTATGTATGACTTAATGGAATTTGTGTATATAATCCAAAGGAACAAATTTGTTTGTGTTATACTGTATCTCACAGAATCATAATCTAAACTGGTACCAAAGAGATCATCTAGTTCAGAGGCTCTTACCCCTTTTTGTGTCATGGACATCCTCTCCTTTCCTCTTTGGCAGTCTTGTGACTTGTGAAGATGGAAATGAAGAAAATCAGAATCTGTCCATGAAATGTTAGAAACCTTTTAGATGGTTTCATTGGAATGATGAGAAAACACAAAAGTGAAGGGAGTGGTAAGGAAACAGGCTACGGGAAGAGACGACCTATTTTGAATTTAAAAAAAAAAAGTAAGCGGGAGAAAAATATGATGGTTGCTGGACAGCAAGATCCATTTAATTTCTTTTATTTCCCTCCAGCATCAAGAAAATTTGATTATAATTGACATATCCCCACATTCAGGTTTCCTGGAGAATTAAGCCAGAGGTAGTTCAAAGAACTTGTCCAACGTACAAACTACTTCATCAAGGCCTTGGCCATGGTGACCGCCATGGACCACCAACTACTCATTATGTTACCCCTGTCTCAAAAAACTCACCAACATGAACAGAAATACACTGATAACATCATAGCTGTTTTTTTTTTAATTAGGTATCAGCAATTAGAGATTTGGCAGAAACAAAAGTATGGACATTGTATTTCATACCTATTATTATACTAAGGGACAGACAAGCATTAATGGGATTAATATCATCACTGGAGGAGTCCCCACACCAACTAGAACCTGATAAGATGAGCTCAAAAACTGTAGATGGTTCTCAAACTCTACTCTTTGACAACCACTGAGTTCATTAAGATCCTTAAATGCCAAGAAATACTACATGAATTCTTCATTTTATATATATACAATGAAATCTAAGCATTCTTTTCCTTCTCAAAATTCCTTTCAACTTTGCTTTCTACTTTGGTAACAAATAATCAAGTTGAAAAAAAGAGATACAAATAACCTGAATAAACAATGTATAATACAAGCTATGCTAACTACATAAGAATACAAACTGTTAGATCAGATGAGGCAGGAACCCTCAGTCCAGCTCCTTGGTGGGAAGTTGCGGGTACCAAGCCATCAAATTAAATCCTTGTTTAATGTCATCTTAGGAAAACGTCACCTGCTGCATCTTTAA